CCTCCCCCCTCCCCCCTCTGCCATACATCATGAACGCAGCCTAAGGAACTTGCGATTGTTCATTTTACCAATCCCTCCAAGCATGGTTTTATAAGCAAAAGGAAAAAGTAAACTAAAACAAAAGTTTCAACAAGGAAACTGTGAACAAATATAGGGGAAAAAACGTAAAGGGGAAAGCAGGCATTACGTCACTCATATTATTGACGTATTCGCCATCACGAGACATTTTTTTCTATATAAACTTTTGGTTTTGTTTTGACTGATTCAAGAATCCCCGGATGTTGAATACACGATTTTACAATGTACTTCCGGTCATCTTTCATACGTAGTTCACTACACCTCAGCTAGTACCTCAGCTGCGTTTCCGTGTAAAATCTAGGTCGTTTTATATCCCCTGCACGGAGCTCTGAGATGAGAGTTTTCGCTTTTATGGGGTCTGGTTAGAAGAAGTTCTAGAGTTTGTTGGATGGGTAATCGTTGTCTTACATGTTGTGGAGTTGTTGTGTGACAAGAACCAACTCGTTATGACTTGCTCAGGACTGGTTTATCTTCTTCCTCTTCTTCTTCAAATTCTCGYCGTTCAAAGTGTTKTTCAAAATGTAACACGGCGGCAKWATGKTGRYGGTGATATTTTTACAAACCCAGACAATACATGTGATGTAAATTCTTGCTTTAAATACAATGATATTAAAGTTGGAGGGACATGGATGGACAACTGCAAATGCTCGTGTGCTCATGGTGACACGTTCGTGGTCCACAACACGACATGTTTAGAGAACAGCAAAGTTCATTCCAAACTTCTCGCAAGCCTCCCAACAAAAGGTAAGAAAACTATCGACCACAAAGTGGTARGTTTATGATGAGCTAGGTAATTGTATTGTCTGCATAATTTAGATTAATCAGTTCAAGTCTGTTTAGTTAAGTTAACTTTAACGTTTAGTTAAACACACGAGGCCTAAAACTATATATTATGCTATCACTTAGGTTTAAAGAGAATATATACTATAAATATGATGTAAAATATGTGCTTGAACTGTAAGATATTTTCAGGTAGTGTGTCTTTAATAATTCGATATGCTGTTAAGAACCACAAGGTTTAGACAGTAAGGATCATTTCAATTCGTTTCTTCTGCATGATCAATGAAGCTGTCAAGCGCTATTGTTTCTGTTCTTCTCGCTTGTCTTGTCCGGCTGGTGGCAAATGAAATTGTTTATTCATCATTATTTTAGTACTTCTATGTTTCAGGAGGTTAATTTCCACGTTCTCCAGTTTTCTTATTTTTATTACCTCCGCAAATAAATTAATTCTAAATTCCATTTATATTAAAGAGCCACTATGTGAAACCACTAGATTTCATTGATGATTTTTTTATTTCATTTCAGTATTTGTTAGTTATTCAGGCTTCCTGTAAACCAGTAAAAAGTTGTCACGCAAAAGAGTCATAAGCTATTTCGGTCACCTGATCATTTCTGTCGTCATTACTAGAAAAATGACGTCGTATCTTCCAACGTCATCACTCTTGATGACGTCATTACAGACAAACGCAGATTGAAACGTACATTTCTTTTGTTTACAGATGCTTCATTTCGTGTGACGGATGATAGTAATTGTCAGACACATTTCCACCGTGTTATGCCAGTCCTCGATATCACAAGCCCTTCTATCAATTATACATTATGTCTCATTGGGAGTTACATTAAAAACTGTAATATTATCAAGAAAGATTCTCTGTACTTTTACGAGGGAAAGTGGTATCCAATATGGCCGACAAATAGGAAACAGGATGCTTTTATCATTACTGAAGATGATAGCANTTTTAGTACTTCTATGTTTCAGGAGGTTAATTTCCACGTTCTCCAGTTTTCTTATTTTTATTACCTCCGCAAATAAATTAATTCTAAATTCCATTTATATTAAAGAGCCACTATGTGAAACCACTAGATTTCATTGATGATTTTTTTATTTCATTTCAGTATTTGTTAGTTATTCAGGCTTCCTGTAAACCAGTAAAAAGTTGTCACGCAAAAGAGTCATAAGCTATTTCGGTCACCTGATCATTTTTGTCGTCATTACTAGAAAAATGACGTCGTATCTTCCAACGTCATCACTCTTGATGACGTCATTACAGACAAACGCAGATTGAAACGTACATTTCTTTTGTTTACAGATGCTTCATTTCGTGTGACGGATGATAGTAATTGTCAGACACATTTCCACCGTGTTATGCCAGTCCTCGATATCACAAGCCCTTCTATCAATTATACATTATGTCTCATTGGGAGTTACATTAAAAACTGTAATATTATCAAGAAAGATTCTCTGTACTTTTACGAGGGAAAGTGGTATCCAATATGGCCGACAAATAGGAAACAGGATGCTTTTATCATTACTGAAGATGATAGCATCATCTTTTTAAAGGTTGGTAAAGTATACACCATGAAAATAAATAAATAAATAAATAAAATAATATAAAATAGAAAAAGAGTATACACCATGATTACGTGACCAGAATCTCGGGTTTTGGCGCCTGTMAATCAAAACAATTTATAACTCACACTATTGGAAATTTGCTTGACGAAGCCAAAACACAGGTTTTCTGAGTCCAACTAACGCATTCGTCGCGCGTATGAAAATTGAGTCCTCTTTTTATGGTTGCTTCTCTCATTGACCACAGAATAACGTCATGAAAGGATTGCATTCAATTGCTTTTAAATCACGAGTGTAGCGCGTGAAAGCTATGCACAAGCGCCCAGTTGTACGAAAAGTGGATAGTGCTATCTGGCGGATAAATCCTTATSCAGTGGATAAATCGATGGGGTTATCCAATAAATTTATCCACTAGATAATATTTATCCGTCGGGCGCTATCTACCATTCGCACAACTGGGCCCAGTYGATGTAAGTACTAATTCCCGTGGTCGGTATTATATTGATTGTTGTGTTGGCTGGGTGAAAGCCACGTTGCTTGCAACGTCGCCTTGTTTAAAGTATAAAATARCTCTTGAGCATCGTCGCACCTTGGAACTGATTCTAAGGTTACCACTACCCATTACCCACCCCTTTTTCCTTGCTGAAAAATTCACAAGGCAGAATTTTTGGGAAAAGTATAGAAAATCCCTAAATAATGCTTTCCGATTCTAAGATTTTCCCTTTCTTTCTCCATTCTAGTGGACGTCACTCGGCCAACAATTTACAGGCCTCATATTTGCTCTCAAGATATCTTGTCAGCTAAAAGGTCAATCGAATGACGACAAGAACACTATTGGGTCATACTTAATATTCAAATCCGCTGGGTCACACTACTGTAAGTGTCATGAATTAGTAACTTAATAGGTTACTCTTTTTGGGAAATCGAAGGTGGCAGTAGCGGTAGTACACTTCTCACCTTTGGGGTCTCAGGTTCAAATCCTAAACTTGCCATCGCATATGTCATGAGYAAAGGTTGTTATGCCTCTCCCTTGATTTGAGGGATTGTTCCGGTTTTCTTCTCCTCCGCAAAACTTTACAAGCTAAATTACAATTCAATCTGTGAGTTAGCCATGCCTTGACTTAGATCAGCTCAGAGGTTGTTTCAGGGTTCGATCTGTGAGTTAGCCATGCCTTGACTTAGATCAGCCCAGAGGTTGTTTTAGGGTTCGATCTGTGAGTTAGCCAT